GAAGCCTCCATCCAAATGCAGCACATGGGATACGTTCCTCTCAAGTGCACAGAGAACATTCTCCAAGCTAGACCATGTTAGGCCACACAACAAGTCAGTAAATTCAAGAAGCCTACAATTTTCCAAAATGATGACTGAAATCAGATCAAGCATCTTTTCCAACCACAGTGGTATGGAACGAGAAATCAATTACAAGAAGAAAACTGGAATTTCACAAACATGCAGATTAAACAACATGCTACTGAACAACCAATGGGTCCATGAGCAAACCACAAGAGAAACCAAGAAATACTTTGAGACAAATGAAAATGGAATACAATATAGCAAAATTTATGGAATGCAGCAAAATGGGTTCCAAGAATGCAGCACTTGGCTGGCTTAGACGGTGGAGCATTGTGACTCTTGATCTTGTGGTTGTGAGTCTGAGCGCCACATTGGGCATGGAGTTCAATATATTTGTTTTTAAATATTTCATTTATTTATTTGACAGAAAGAGAGAGACTGAGCACAAGCAGGGGGAGCTGCAGGCAGTGGGAGAGGGAGAAGCAGGCTCCACCCACTGAGCAGGGAGCCCTACGCAGGGCTCGATCCCAGGAACCTGACATCATGACTTGAGCCAAAGGCAGACACTTAACTGACTGAGCCACCCAGGCACCCCTTGGAGTTTACTTAAAAAAAAAAAAAAAAAAAAGTGGTTCTAAGAGGGAAGTTTGTAGTGATATAGGTGTAAATCAAGAAACAAGAATCGTCTCAAATAAGCAGCCTAACTTTCCACCTCAAGGAACCAGAAAAAGAACACGGAAGCCCAAAGTTAATAGAAGAAAGGAAGTAACATATCAAACAGAAATAAATCAAATACAGACTATGAAGGCAATAGAAAGATCAACAAAAGAGCTCGTTCTTTGAAAAGAAAAAAGCTGACAAATTTTCAGCTACACTCAAGGTAAAAAAAAAAAAGAATGAGGACACATAATCAGAAATGAAAGATATGTTCCCATTGATACCATAGACAAAGGCTCATAAGAGACTATTGTGAACAATTACACCCCAACAAGATTGACAATCGAAAAGAAAAGGATAAATTCCAAGAAACACACAACCTTCCCAGACTGAATCATGAAGAGACAGAAATTCTGAACAGACCAATTACCAGTAGGGAAATAAAATGAGTAATAAAAAACCTCTCAACAGTCAGGAGTCCAGATGGCTTTCCTGGTGAATTCTACCAAATTTTCAAAGAAAAATGAATACCAATCCTTCTCAAACTTTTCCACAAATACAAGAGGAGGGAATGCTTCCCAACTCCTTTTAGGAGGCCAGCACTGCCCTTATCAAACCCTACCAAAATACCACAAGAAAAGAAAATTACAGACCCGTATCTGTGATGAACACAGATATAAAAATCCTCAAAAAAATAACAGCAAACGAAAATTCCACAATACACGAAGAGGTATGAACAAGTCAGATTTATTTCAGGGATGCAAGAGGGGTTCAACATCCACAAATCAATCAAAGAAATAGGCCACATTAACAAAACAAAGGGTAAAAATCAAATGATCATCTCCACCGATGCAGAAAAAGCATCTGACAAAACACAACAACCCATTTTGATAAAAGCTCTCAACAAAGCAGGAATACAGAGAAGGTAACTCAACATAATAAAGGCCATACCTGAGAAGCCACATCCTATGCAACACTGAAAGCCGAAAGCTTCTCCTCTAAGATCAGGAACAAGACAAGGATGCACTCTCTTGCCACTTTTATTCAACATACAGTTGGCCCTTGAACAATGTAGGGATTAGGGTTGCCAAACCCCTGTGCAGTTGAAAATCTGAGAATACTTTTGAGTCACCCAAAACTGAACTACTAATACCCTACTGTTGACTAGAAAAGTTATCAATAACACAAAGAGGTGATTCAGACATATTTTGAATGTTACATGTATTATAGACTGTATTCTTAACAACAAAGTAAGCTAGAGAAACAGAATGTGATTAAGAAAATCCTGATGGAGCTTGGGGCGCCTGGGTGGCTCAGTCATTAAGCGTCTGCCTTCGGCTCAGGTCATGATCCCAGGGTCCTGGGATCAAGCCCCGCACTGGATCCAAAGACTGTGGGGAGCCTCCTTCTTCCTTTCTGACTCCCCCTGCTTGTGTTCCCTCCCTTGCTGTGTCTCTCTCTGTCAAAAAATAAATTCTTTAAAAAAAAAAAATCCTGATGAAGCTAGAATATATTATGCTAAGCAAAATAAGTGAGTCAGAGAAAGACAAATACCATTCACTCCTATGGATTACACTCCTATGGATTTAAGAAACAAAACAGATGAACAAATGGGAGGGGGAATACAAAGAACAGAGAAGGAAACAAACTGTAAGAAACTCTTGATGCTGGAAAACAGAGATTTGACAGAGGGGAGCTGTTTGGGGGATGGTCTAGCTGGGTGATGGGATTAAGGAGGGCACTGTTATGATGAGTACTGGGGGTTGTAAGCAAGTGATGAATCACTGAATTATACTGAAACCAATATTGCACTGTATGTTAAGTAACTAGAATTTAAATAATCATTTGAAAAGAAAAAAAAAAAAAGAAAATCCAAAAGGACAATACCTTTACAAGTAATGCCTGTATTTACTGAATAAAAAATGTATTAAGTGGACCACACAATTCAAACCCATGATGGACAAGGGTCAACTATACTACTGGAAATCCCAGCAAGAGCAATTACACAAGAAAAATAAATAAATAAAATGCAGCCAAATTGGAAAGGAAAAAGTAAAAGTCACTATATTCAAATGACATTTTATATGTAAAAAACCCTAAAAACAACATGAACAAAACTATTAAAATAAACAAATTCAACGAAGTTGCAGGATAAAAAGTACATAAAAATATGTTCCATTTTTATACACTAATAATGAACAGGAAAATAAATTTAAAAAATCGTATTTAAAACTGCATCAAAAAAAACAAAAAACACTTTGAGGTAAATTTAACCAAGGAGGTGAAAGCCTATATACTGAAAACTGTTAAGATGCTAAGGAAAGAAACTGAAGACAACACAAGTAAACAGACATTCCATGCTCATGGATTAGAAGAATTAAGTGTTAAAATGTCTATACTACCCAAAACCGTCTAGAGATTGAATGCAATTCTTACCAAAATTCGAAACACGTTTTACAGACATAAGGCAAAGAATCTTTAAAATTTGTATGGAACCACAAAAGACTCTGAATAACCAAAACAATCTTAAGAAAGAACAAAGCTGGAGGCATCAGGCTCCCTGGTCTTAAACTTTATTACAAACCTATAGTGACTGCTGGCACACTGGCTTAAACACAGACACGCAAATCACCAGCACAGAAGAGAGAGCCCAGAAGGAAACCCACACCTCTATGGTCCAGTACCTTATGACCACGGAGCCAAGAATATACAAGGAGGAAAGAACAGTCTCTGTAATCAACGGTACTGGGAAAACTGGACGGCCCCATGCTAAAGAACGAACCTTACTTTTGTGTATCTTACAAAACACATAAAAATTAACTCAAAATGGATTCAAGACTTGAATATAGGACTTGAAACCCTAAAACAATTAGCAGAAAACATAGCGGAAGGCTGCTTGACACAGGTCCTGGTAGTGATTTTTGTGGCTCACATTCCAAAAGCAAAGGCAACAAAAGCAAAAATAAATAAGTACATCTACAGCAAACTCAAAAGCTCCTACCCAGCGAACAAAATCAACAACAAAATAAATAGGCAACCTACTACTGCCTGGAAGAAAAGATTTGCAGATCCAAAGATCTCATAAAAGATTAATAGCCAGTACATATAAAGAACTTCTACAACTCAATAACTACAACAAAAAAGAAAGTGTTTAACCAGTGGGAGGATTATCCAAATGGACATTATCCAGAGAAGACATCCAGAGAGCCAACAGGTACGTGAAAAGATGCTCAACATCATTAATCATCAGGGAAATGCAAATCAAAACAACAATGGGATAGCACCTCAAACTGGCTAGAATATTTAGTATCAAAAAGATGAGAAATAACAAATGTTAGCAAGGATGTGGCAGAAGGGGAACCCCAGTGAGCTGTTGGTGGGAACGTAGGTAGGTGCATCCACTGTGGAAAATAGTATGCAGGCTCCTCAAAACATTAAAACTAGAACGACCCTACAATCCAGCAATTTTTCTTCTGGCCATTTAGGCAAAGAAAAAAAAAACACCTATTTGAAAAGATATCTGAACCCCCATGTTCACTGCAGCATTATTCCTAACAGCTAAGATAGGAGGACAACCTACGTGTCCATGGAGGGATGAATCGATAAGGAAGATGTGGTGTATGTAGACACTGCAATACTCTTTAGCCATAACAAAAAACGAAATCTTTTCTTTTTGCAACAACATGGATGGACCCTGAGGGCACCATGCTAACTGAAAGAAGTCAGAGACAAATACTCCATGACAACACTTTTATATGGAATCTAAAACACCAAACAACTGAGCTTAAAGATACAGCAATCAGATTGGTGGTTGACAGGCAGGGGTATGGGTGTGAAATGGGTGACAGGGGTCAAAGGTTCAAACTTACAGGTATAAAATAAGTAAGTCACAGGATGTAACGTACAACATGGCAACTATAGTTAATAACACTGTACTGCAAGCTTCAATGATCCTAAGGAAAAGGTCCTGTAAAGCAATCCAAGACAAAACTGGATTTAAACAGATAAGCCATACACCAGTGTTCAGGGGACTCAGAAAGTGCAAGGACCTGCCAAAATCTGTATGGGAAGCTGCCCTCCTGCTCCTCGCAGAGGCTAAAGGAGAGCTTTGTACACTGGTGAGTGCGTGCACAGAACAGCATGTAAAGTGCTAGGCTCCTCTCTACCCAGAGCAGTGGGCACTGCATCCCGCTTAGGGGTACAGGAAGAAGCAGGGAGTTCCTGGGGGATACTGAAGAAGTTGAGGAAGAACAAGGCAGGGTGTATGGAAAGTACCTTACCGGTTTTCCAAATCCCTGGGCATGTTCCATCGTGTAGGTGTCTTTTGAGATGCTACCAAAGGTCACCGCTGCTGTCTACTCAGGCTCTTGCGGCTGGGCAGCCAACTTCTTTAACTCACTGGCAACCTCTGAGTCATCACTGTCTCTTGACCGTCATTCTAGGGGGAGAGGAGCACATAAAATGGGTCTCATTTCTCTCAGTTGGGATGGTCCTTCAGCTGTTGATCTGAATCACTAACCACCGCCGTTACATCTGTGCCCGTAAAGCACTGCAAGGGAATAAAGACAATGATGGTAACAAATAGGGAACACTTATTCCTCTGTGTTACGCCCTGTTCTAAGCTGTAAGGTGCAGAGCCAAGCATGGAGGCATGAGGGTTTCGGATACGCCCCAATCATGGAGAGCTTCGAAGCACAGGGTTTGGAGCTGCAAAGACAAGGGCTTGAAATCTGGTTCCAAGCATTATCTGCGTCTCTAAGACTCAGAGGCCTATCAGGATCCTAGCCCACGGAGATGTGCAAACTGATAAAGGGTGTAGAATGCTTAGGCCAGTGCCAGGCACAGAGCAGCTCCTCAGTTAACTCACGATGATAATCATGAGGGTGACAATCACGTTGGTGTTCCTTCCCCGGTGCTTGTGATAACAATAACCAATACTTCTATGATATTAATCCCAAACGCTGGTACTGTGCTTATCCCGTGCCAGGAACTGGGGTTTACATTGACACTGGAAATGGGTTCCATTTACTAATTCATTAAATCCTCAAAACAACCCTATATAGGTACTATTTGCAGGTCCATCTCTCAGATGAGAATTTTGAGGCACGGAGATTACCTATCTTGCTCAAGGTCACGCAGCTGGAAGTGCCATAAGAGGAATGACAACCTGTACCATGAACCGGTATAGAAGAAACCCATTACCTACATTAAATCTGCACCATAACCCTAAGGTTTTGCTGTTCTGCCCACTTTACAGATGGAGAGACTGAAGCTCAGGCCCAGGGCGGAGGCCGAACTCACCTGGCCTCCCCAATGGGAGGAAGCAGGACTTGGCACTCCGCCTCAGGCTTGGCCTCCGGGTCCTGGGTGGCCCCCTCCATCCCCCGCGGATACCAGGCTGAGGGGCACCTCTTCCTCAGAACCGCAGCATGCTAGGGTTCCAACGACTCCACTGCGCCTGGCTCCCTCTGCTCCCAGCCACACCGCCACTGCCCCCGGCTACCACCACTGACACCCGCTGCCCATGGCAGATGCCGCTGCTGACTGCCGATGCTACTGCCCCACGCTGCCGCCCTCTGCCGCCTGCTGCGTGCTGGCGCTGGCTGCCCAGCGCGGACGCTGCCCTACCACCACCGGCCTGCTGCCCCCGCCAGCTGCTGCAAGTTACCGCTGCCTACCGCCCCAGCCACCTGCCTGCCACCGCTTCCTGCCGCTGCCGCCTGCCGCCGCCTGCCAGCCGCCGGCTGGCGCCCTTGGCTGCGTCCCACTGCCTCCGCCTGCCTGCCCTCACCCCCTGCTGCCGCCTACCGCTGCCTACCGCCACCACCTGCAGCCCGCCGCCCGCCACCTCCTCTGCTGCCACCAGCCTCCGCTGCCTAACCTCGACGATGCCTGCCGACGCTGCCTGCCTACTGCCCCCCGCTGCCCCCACCGCCTGCCGCCGCCGCCGCCGCTGCCGCCTGCTGCCCTCACTGCCTGCCGCCACCGCGGCCTGCCTCCCCCTGCCACCTGCCGCCGCTTTCTGCCACCACTTAAGGCTGGCTGCGGCTGTCAGCCGCCGCTTCCCGCCTGGCCCCTGCTACCTGCAGCCCGCCGCCGCCTCCTGCTGCCAGTTACCACTGCCCGCCACCGCAGCCTGCCGCCACCACATGCCTACCGCTGCCACCTGCCAACAGCTGCAGCCACCGCCTACCTAACGCAGCTGTCTGGCCCTGCCACCTGCTGCCGCTTCCTCCCGCCGCTTACCACTTCCTGCCCCCGTCTGCTGCCACTTGCCGCCGCCTGCTGCGCCGCTGCCCCCTGCCTGCCCCTAGCCGGGGCCTGCTAGCCGCCACCACCTGCCCCCGCCACCACCACTTCCTGCCGCCACCGCCTGTTGCCACCTGCCGCTACTGCCTACTTCCACTGCTGCAGCCTGCCTGCAACCTGCCTGCCGCAGCCTGCCTGCCCCCGCCCCCTGCCGCCGCTGCCGCCGACGCCGCCTGCTACCTCCTTCCAGCGCCCGCCGCCCTTGCCTGCCTGCTGCGGCGGCCTGCCTACCACCGCTTACCACAGCCTGCCACCGCTTCCTGCCGCCGCCTGCGATCGCCTACCGCCGGCGCCTGTCTGCCAACCCTGCCTGCCGCCGCCCACCACCTTGCCTGCTGCCACCTGCCTCCCTGCCCCCACCGCTTACTGCCGCCACAGCCTGCCGCCCCCTGCCTCCACCGCCTCCCGCTGCCACACACCAACGCGCACTAACCCGGCACCTACCGCTGCCGCCGCCCGCTGTTGATCCTGCTGCTGCCGCTGCTGCCGGGCCCTTCCGTTGCTGCGGAACACCGACTCCGACAGACGCCAGCACTACCGCGGCCGCTGCTGACGCCACCGCGTACCCCGCAGACGCCCGCTGACGCTTCCGGCACCCCTCCCCACGCTGACCCACGCTGCCGCCGCTGACCCGCCTACTGCTGACCCCGCCCCCACCCACGGGGGCTGCTTTCCCCGCCGGTGACTCCCGCTGAAGCCAATGGCACCTGCTGTTGAGGCTGCCACACACCGCCGCCCAATGACCCGGGGCTGCCCAAAGCTGGCGCCCCTGCAGCCCTTAGCGCCCCTGCAGCCTCCGCAGACGCCACCCGCTGGCGATGTCACCGCTGCCACCTCTGCAGCTGTCCGCTGCCGCCTGCCGCCGACTGCCACCGCCTGCCTGCCGCCGCCTGCCGCCCTTGCCTGCGTCCCCGTCTCCGCCTGCCTGCCCTCACCCCCTGCTGTCGCTTACCGCTGCCTACCGCCACCACCTGCAGCCCGCCGCCTGCCACCTCCTCTGCTGCCACCAGCCTCCGCTGCCTAACCTCGACGCTGCCTGCCGACGCTGGCTGCCTACCGCCACCTGCTGCCGCACCCCCTGCCGCCCCCCGCTGCCCCCACCGCCTGCCGCCCTCACTGCCTGCCGCCACTGCGGTCTGCCTCCCCCTGCCACCTGCCGCCGCTTTCTGCCACCACTTAAGGCTGGCTGCGGCTGTCAGCCGCCGCTTTCCGCCTGGCCCCTACTGCCTGCAGCCTGCCACCGCCTGCTGCTGCTTACCTACCGCCGCCTCCTGCTGCCAGTTACCACTGCCCGCCACCGCAGCCCGCCGCCACCACATGCCTACCGCTGCCGCCTGCCAACAGCTGCAGCCACCGCCTACCTAACGCTGCTGCCTGGCCCTGCCACCTGCTGCCGCTTCCTCCCGCCGCTTACCACTGCCTGCCCCCGTCTGCCGCCGCTTGCCGCCGCCTGCCGCCGCCGCCCCCTGCCTGCCCCTAGCCGGGGCTTGCTGGCCGCCACCACCTGCCCCCGCCACCACCGCTTCCTGCTGCCACCGCCTGTTGCCACCTGCCGCTACTGCCTACTCCCACTGCTGCAACCTGCCTGCAACTGTCTGCCACCTGCCTGCCGCAGCCTGCCTGCCCCCGGCCCCTGCCACCGCCGCCGCCTGCTACCTCCTTCCAGCGCCCGCCGCCCTTGCCTGCCTGCTGCGGCGGCCTGCCTACCACCGCTTACCACAGCCTGCCACCGCTTCCTGCCGCCGCCTGCGATCGCCTACCGCCGGCGCCTGTCTGCCAACCCTGCCTGCCGCCGCCCACCACCCTTGCCTGCTGCCACCTGCCTCCCTGCCCCCACCGCTTACTGCCGCCACAGCCTGCCGCCCCCTGCCTCCACCGCTTCCCGCTGCCACACACCGACGCCCACTAACCCGGCACCTACCGCTGCCGCCGCCCGCTGTTGATCCTGCTGCTGCCGCTGCTGCCGGGCCCTTCCGTTGCTGCGGAACACCGACTCCGACAGACGCCAGCACTACCGCGGCCGCTGCTGACGCCACCGCGTACCCCGCAGACGCCCGCTGACGCTTCCGGCACCCCTCCCCACGCTGACCCACGCTGCCGCCGCTGACCCGCCTACTGCTGACCCCGCCCCCACCCACGGGGGCTGCTTTCCCCGCCGGTGACTCCCGCTGAAGCCAATGGCACCTGCTGTTGAGGCTGCCACACACCGCCGCCCAATGACCCGGGGCTGCCCAAAGCTGGCGCCCCTGCAGCCGCTGCAGCCGCAGACGCCACCCGCTGGCGCTGTCACCGCTGCCACCTGCCGCCAAATTCCGCCGCCTGCCGCCCTTGCCTGCGTCCCCCTGCCTCCGCCTGCCTGCCCTCACCCCCTGCTGCCGCTTACCGCTGCCTACCGCCACCACCTGCAGCCCGCCGCCTGCCACCTCCTCTGCTGCCACCAGCCTCCACTGCCTAACCTCGACGCTGCCTGCCGATGCTGCCTGCCTACTGCCACCTGCTGCCGCACACCCTGCAGCCCCCCGCTGCCCCCACCGCCTGCCGCCGCCGCCTGCCGCCGCTGCCGCCGGCTGCCCTCACTGCCTGCCGCCACTGCGGCCTGCCTCCCCCTGCCACCTGCCGCCTGCCGCCGCTTTCTGCCACCACTTAAGGCTGGCTGCGGCTGTCAGCCGCCGCTTCCCGCCTGGCCCCTGCTGCCTGCAGCCTGCCACCGCCTGCTGCTGCTTACCTACCGCCGCCACCTGCTGCCAGTTACCACTGCCCGCCACCACAGCCCGCCGCCACCACATGCCTACCGCTGCCGCCTGCCAACAGCTGCAGCCACCGCCTACCTAATGCTGCTGCCTGGCCCTGCCACCTGCTGCCGCTTCCTCCCGCCGCTTACCACTGCCTGCCCCCGTCTGCCGCCGCTTGCCGCCGCCTGCCGCCGCCGCCCCCTGCCTGCCCCTAGCCGGGGCCTGCTAGCCGCCACCACCTGCCCCCGCCACCACCGCTTCCTGCCGCCACCGCCTGTTGCCACCTGCCGCTACTGCCTACTCCCACTGCTGCAGCTTGCCTGCAACTG